TGTGTGTGTGTGTGTGTGTGTGTGTGTGTGTGTGTGTGTGTGTGTGTGTGTACACCTTCAAGTAATTGTTCAACGGAAAAATAATTTTCTACATTAAAAAGGATCAAAACTTATTTAAGATCAACAACGAGAGAAAATCATCTTAATTAACAACCCTCAACATTGAAGCTGATTTAACGAAAACTATTAATTTTAATGATATTATTGAACATTTTTCTTCTCAAAAGTCAAGAAAAAAATTATAAGCTATCGATTATTTTATTATATATAATTAATAATAAATATAATATATTTAATCTAATAAAAAAATCATGTATTGTTAATCATTGTGCATATAATAAGTATAAATTCCGTTTTCTAAATTTAATATTTATATATATATTTCTAAGAAAGGAATATTCACTGAAAAAAAAATAGGTTAACGTGAGGATATGTATTACTATACAATTATCTAATACAATATCGCAAAACAACTGATTTATAATTTGTTTCGTAAAATTAATTTTTTTATTGCTTGACTTTGAATTTATTTATATATATATATATATTTTGGCAAGGGAGAAGGGCGGAAAAATTATTTTGCCCCAGGGCGCGTATGTATTAAACGCGCCACTGCATACAGTACACTGAGCGACGGACGAAAACAAATTGACAAACTGCGTATAAAGTGTAGAATATCGGTGCTTGTGAGAATAAAAAACGATTTCAAACATGTACGAATGTACAATATGAAGTATCGCTCATTACGTGGGTTACATTAGATAATATTAGCTCGATTAAAGTTCGTAATCATTCGTAATCATTTTCTCTGTACCCAAAAAGAGGTGATATTATTGTAAATTGTATTTATATTTTATATTTTTGATCACAATAACCGAAAACCTGAACACTGTAAGCGACGAAAAATGCACTTATAACGGCTGTTTGTTCCGTTCCTGGAATTTTTTGATCACTATAAGCGGCTGATTCTTATAACCAGTGAACACTATAAGCGGCGACCACTATAATATGAATAATATTTAATTCTATTGTGTAAGTATGTAATGCAGTACATTCATATAAATGAATTTGATTGATTAAGGTTTGGAAAAATATGTTTGCAAGAATTTTGTTAATCTCAGCGAGTATTTTATTTATCATTTCCTTGAATTTCCCCGAAGGGCCCCCAAATTAATCTTCCCCTGGCCCAGAAAAACTTGGGGCGACATTGAATTCTACCATCGCTCGACACCAGGAACGAAGATATACTCGCGTCGCCTATTGTTCTCCGAACAGTATATTCAGTCGAGCAAGTATGGGCGCGGAAACATCAGTGTTTATTCGGAAAAATACTACGGTGACACGTACACGTGACCGATGTACGGTACATATGCAAATGCCGTTTGGCTGTCGGCTACACGATGATCGCAAGAGACCGCTAACGTACAGTAAAGTTGAAAAGCAATTTTCCGGGTAAAACGGTCGTCGGCGTTATAAGAGCAAAGTTGTGGTCGCATACACAATTAAAAACCCGCTCTTCCCATGCGCGTTGCAGTATTTCATCGGGAACCGTATCGACTTCAAATGCGATGTATTACTTGAAAACGATTTGTCGCTGATCCGCAGTAGCGAATATACGCGGGGGTTGTACACAATACAGTCGCGCGTCGAACACACGGTTCCACTGCAAGCGTATCGATTTGAAAAACGTTTCACGTGATCATCAGTGTAAAACACGTACATAGTATTGTTTCATCGATTAAATATGGAAATACGTGTATATATTATTTTTTTCGAAACTAGAACTGTAACCTATATAGTTATTATGATAATATGTCATTAAATCAAGTACAATGCGAAAATACCTAGTAGGTTAAAGGGATCAAATACTCCAATATACAGTATACGTATATACATCAAACATTGTAGTTTAGACACTGATTACATGAAAACAGATAGTTTACTCGGTATGTAAACGAAAACAATGGCGTTTAGCACCGCAACGAAATCAGTTTGATCAAGATCAAGGCGTAAAACATTTTTCGTGTTCATGAAAAAAATAATATATATATATTTTCTGGTCGTCCGACTAGGTCGCCAACATTGGAATTCCATTAGGTTATCCTGAGGTCTTGAAGTCCTTTAAGAACTAATTGGAATATGTTGC